GCAGGGTGGGGCTTTGTGCTGCTGCATCGGAATCAGCAACTTAACAATTTCTCCCTCCCCCCCACCCCCCCGTGCTGGGAGCAGAGAGCCCCTGAGCCCCTGGAATAAAGCAGAGACTGGCCACCACCCAGGACCCTGACCCGGGAACGGCCGACCTGGAGGGCAGGCGGGGACCCCACGCCATGGGAGCCATCCCGCCCACCTCACCTGGACGCTCGGACCTCCGGCCCCCGCAGGGGCTCAGAAACAGGCACAGCCGGGCCAGCGGGACTGTCTCGCAGGCCCTGTGATGCTGGGAGGGAAGCAGCCGGAGCGGAGCCTTCTCAGAGGCAGGAACTCCGACACCAGCCTGAGTCAGCGGGAGGCTCTAAAATAACCCTAATCACTATCTTTAGAGAAACCAGAGGCTATCGCGGCGTCGTGAGGCAAGAGGGGCATTTATGTAAAAGAGCTAATTAGAGAGCGTGGAATCCAAGAGACGCTGAGAAGCAGAGACATCTGAGGCGCGAATCCGCGAGCGGGAGAGCAGCCGGCGCCCCTCACGGATCCGCCTGCCAGGGAGGCCGGGGGCTGGCGCCGCACAGCCATTGTTGGACGTTCCGGCGCGAGGAGCCGGCGGGAGGGGAGGACATGGCCGAGGGTCCCGCGGCCACCCATCTTCAGACTCAAAAGCACTCACTCACGCCCTGGTTGGCGTGGCTCCGTGGTTAGAGTGCGGCCTGCAGGGAAGGGTCCCAGGTTTGATTCCTGGCCCCGGTCAGGGCGTGTGCAGGAGGCAACCAATCCCTGTGTCTCTCTCACCTCGATCTTTCTCTTTCTCTTTCCTCTCCCCCTCCCTCCCTCCTTGTCACTCTCTCTGAAAAGCAATGGAGAAAACAAAGAACTCGCTGGCCACATGGCCACGCCCGCACCAGACTCGTGGCCCGCTTCCAGATGACAGGAGTGAAGGTTCTCACGCTCCCACGTGACGGGGGGGACTTACGGCCTGATAGATAGAGCACCTGGGTCAATCTGAAAAGTAACCCTATTACTTTCAGTCTTAGAACACATACACTTATGTGGGTAGCGGGTTAAGTTTCTTACATGTGAAGAGGGGGTTCAGTTTTCAAGTTTCCTTTGAAGGCCTGTGCGAAGCTATTGAGGTGGTGACTCGGCTGTGAATCCAGAAAGCGAACCGAGAAGCAGGGACAGACTGACGCACCAGGAGTCAAAACGTCATCTCATCCCCATCATCTCACCTGCATCATCTCATCCACATCATCATCTCATCTGAATCATTTCATCTGCATCATCTCATCCTCGAATGAATGAGTGAATGAGTGAAGGAGTGAGGGAGTGAGGGAAGGAGAGAGGGAGGGAGTGAAGGAGTGAATGAATGAATGAAGGAGTGAGGGAGTGAAGGAGTGAGGGAGTGAATGAATGGAGGAGTGAAGGAGTGAATAAATGAAGGAGTGAGTGAATGAATGAAGGAGTGAGGGAGTGAATGAGTAACTGGGCCGCCTGCCTTTGCTGGAGCCGTGGGAAGCGTTCGGCTGGGAAGGGAGATCAGATCACGGGTGCTTTGTGAGGGCTCCCCTGGAGAAACGAACCCTGGGATGGACCTGTCACGGTGAACCCGCCTTCGTCTCCCTCTCCCCACCCGGCAGGACGTGCGGGAGGGGCTGGGACGCACTGAAGGAGCCGAGGGACCCTCACTGGCCCGAGCACCTCCCTCAGCGCCACCTCCTCCTCCCCCGTCCTCCTGGTGGAGCCCCCAAGAATGCGCACATCAGGCCGCTGCCAACGGTTTAGAACGCTGCAGTAATTAAAAGGTGGCAGCAATTCTGTTCAAAAGGCGAGGCTGTCTCTTCAAACCAGGGCAGTGGGAACACCCCGCACACCACGTGTGCGCCCCAACCTCACATGCACGCCCGCCCACTCCCGGCCCCTGCGCGCTGCTGCCTAATCCTCTCACGTTCCCTCTCTCTCTCTCTCTCTCTCTCTCTCTCTCTCACACACACACACACACACACACACACACACACACACACAATTTGATGCCTTGTTATTCTGGTCGCATCCAGAAGACACCCAGGCCCAAATCCCTGGATCTGAGGTTTCAGTGTGCACTGCGGGGCCAACGTCACAAGATAATCGCCATGGCATGGCTCAGCTCACAATATATCTTCTTAAAATTCATCTGTTCTTTCTTTTAAATATATTTTTATTGACTTCAGAGAGGAAGGGAGACGGATAGAGAGAGAGAAACATCAATGATGAGACAGAATCATTGATCGGCTGCCTCCTGCACGCCCCACACTGGGATGGAGCCCACAACCCGGGCCTGTGCCCTGACCGGGAATCGAACCCTGACCTCCTGGTTCATAGGTTGACACTCAACCACCGGGCCACACTGGCCGGGCTCATCGGTTCTTTAAAAGGGCCTGACCCGGATGGAACATTTGGGGCTGGGCCCCTTCAATCAAGGGCAGAACCCCTTGGGGTAAAGGTTACTTTACTAATTGCCTGAGGCACGGCCATTCCCATAAGCAGGTGCTGCTCATCTGGCCCAGGGCCGTTTGGGGAAGAACCCGGAGGACTGCAGCCTCGGTGCCCGAGATCCACGGGGCGGGCGGCCGAAACAGAGGCTGGGGAACGGGCACCTGCTCCGACGGGCCACCGGCTGTCCTTCTGAAGCCTCATTGGCATCCAAAGCTGGAGCGGCCCCGGGGCCGGCCCGTCTCTCAGCGAGCGAAGGGCCAGTGCTGCTTGGCCGAGTCTGTCTGAGGCGGTGAACGCCACCCTCCCGAGAGCCCTCATTCTCCACACCCTGGCGGACGCCGCGACTCCCCACTGCCCGCTCCTCCGCCCTCCTCGGGCCAGAGACAGCGGCACGAACCCTTCGCTCCCAGCACCCAGGGCACTCCTCCTGGGTGAGCATGTGACTGCGTGGTTTGTGGCCGTGACAACAAGGCCGTGGTCCCCGCGACCACAGGGATTATTTTCAAGTCACTGTGCGTACTGAGCACGGGCAGGTGCCTGGCCCGGAGGGAACCGTGTCCCTCCCTGTGGGCACCCCCACTGGCCCCGAGGAACGTGTGGACGTGAGGTCCTGCCCTTCCCCATCGGGCGGATCTGCCAGCGTCCCACTCGCCCTCCGTGCGAAACGGAGCCTTGTGAACGCCAGGCGTGTTCCAATGTGTCGGGGTTTTCAGCCAACTCGCCATCTGTTGGATCCGAGTTGTACCCGTGCTGCGCGGCGAGGGAAGGGGTGCTGGCGATGGGGACGTGGCAGCCGCCGCCGACAGAACAGAACGCACCGGTGGGGAGGCGCCAGGCCGTCCGCCCCGGGCCTGGAAGACCTCCCAGCTCCCTCCCGTCCTTTCTGTGCACCAGCTTGCTGTTCGCGAGGCCTGGTGCTGAGGGGCTCTGTGAAGTCAGACCAGTGATCCCTTTATTTTTATTGTTGGAAGTGGGATTTTTGCTTAAGATCAGGCCAGGCTTTGGTCACACAAAGAAGTTTGGTGGTGACCGCCGGGCATCGGAATCTGAATGCGATCCGTTCAGCGCAGCCTCCTCCTGGCGGGCCTTGCGGCCCCGGGTAAGCCAGTCACCCCTCGGGCGCCATCCGCACAGGGAGCGTCTGTCCGGTGGGTGGGGGGATACTCGATCCCGGTTTCCACAAAACGGGCTCAGGTCCCGTGGTCACACGTGCCAGGAGCCACGTCCCCACACAGCACTGGAGAGCCCAGCGCCTCAGGAGCTCAGAGCCAAGCGCCCTGCAGCTGCCCAGACCCACGGCGGCGAAATCCCACACGTGGTGAGCGCCGCCGCCGCCGGGAGAGCTCGCGAGGCTCGGAGCCGCTGGGTAGAGGCGCAGGCACTGCTGCACCTGCTGAAAGTCTCGAAGCACGTCTGCCGGGAGCTCAGCGTCCTGGGATTAAATTTTTAAAAGTTGCGCAGTTGTCATACTGGGGATTTTGACGGAAAACGTTGATTTACAGCGTTCCCGGGTACTGATTGGCTGGCTGGCGTCTCTCGCCCGGCTCTCGCTCTCCCCCCCCTCTTTCTCCTTATATGGAATTTCTGCTCACGTCGCCGTCGTTTTCCTGGGCTGGGAGAATGTGGGAGGTCTGGAAGGAGGGTGTTCGGCGCGAGGGTCTGGGAGGCAGTCCAGCCGGCGTCTGGTCGGCTGCCCCTCAGCCGGATGTGATCCCCCCGCACACCCGGCCTGCCCGGGTCTGTCTCCTCGGATCGCTGAGGGGCCCGGATGAGGCAGGGACCGCAGGGCTGCGCCTCGTGCCTGGAACACGCCGGAGTGATGTTTATCAGGAGATCAGTGCCTGGTGGAAGCGGACTGCGCACAGTTGTTAGTGAGTCAGGCCCAGCCGCCACCTGACTTAATCATCGGCCTGGAAGGGACGGAGAGGCTCAGGGGCAGGTGAGGCGCTGCCTGGCCTGTGAGCAGGAAACTCCAGCGTCGAAGGGACCTGGATAACTCCCCTCGATAGTGGCCCTCGCTAGGGGACCCGGCGGGGGAGGCAGCCGGCCGGACGCTGGCGTCTGTGTTTGGTTTTCGAGCACGCCCCCTCGGGGCCCTGTGGTGTGGCTCGGAGCTGCTACCCTCTGCCCTCAGCCCGTCTGTAAGGGCGGAGTGGACTCCGGGCAGGTCGCCTCCCGCCCTCTGCCTGCCCTCAGTATTCCCAGCTTTAGAATGGGGGTAGGCAGCAGGCTCTTCCTGCAGGGGTCCAAGGGGTTGTCAGAGAGAGCCGCAGGGTCAATAGGGGAGCATTCGTGGACACGTTCAACGCGCCAGGCCCGGGTCCCACTGCTTCACATGTTCTCACTCAGAGCCTTTTAAACCGTTTCTTAAAAATACATTTTTATTGATTTCAGAGAGGAAGGGAGCGGGGGAGAGAGATAGAAACATCAGTGATGAGAGAGAATCATGGAGCGGCTGCCTCCTGCACGCCCCGCACTGGATTGAGCCCGCAACCCAGGCATGCGCCCTGCCCTGACTGGGAATCGAACCGAGACCTCCTGGTTCATGGGTCGGTGCTCAGCCACTGAGCCACACCGGCCAGGATAGAGCCTTTTAAATTCCAGGTCTTTCTCAGTCCAGGTTCCTGTGGCTGCCGCCTCCTGGGTGTCTGCAGGACAGGGGTCCCTCACCGCGTCCGGGGTCGCTCACTCCTGTCGGGGGAAAGGACCTCGCGTTAAAAACCTGTCCCTGGTACCCGCCCCCACGTGCTTCCCTGTGACTTCCTTCCCCATGGATGTCCCGCGTGGTCCCCAGGCAGCCACCAAGCCCCAGCACCCCCCCCCCATGCCAGCCCAGGGCGGAACAGCTCTGCCTCTTCTCTGCCTGCTCTGTGGTTGCTAACCAAGCGACGGGGGGTGCCAGGATAGGAGCGAGCACTTGGTGAGCCCTCCTGCTGCGCGGGGCCCCTGGGCGTCGTTGAATTTCATGCTCCGACCAACCCTCCAGGCTCTGCTATGGCGCATTGGAAACCCTCCGAGTGCGGGGCTGGCCCAGGGTCGCGCGGTGGCTAAGCGGCCGCACTTCAGCCAGCTTCACTCCACATCTCAGCCGGGGAACCCGAGCGCCAGGG